ATAATAAAACTGAATATCTTGTACATGTCCAGTTGCTCAATGTACCCTTTGCTCACACAAACTATCGACACAACACATTCCAAATGCGTGGATGTGAAATTTACAACAAGTATAGTATTGAGAACGACTTTGACTTATTCTCGACAAGCCCAGCGACAGTCAGACGAGCTATAGCTTCGAATTATTTTAAATAGGCATTAATTAAATAAATGGGTATGCTCAATATTCAAACCGGCGTCTGTTTCCTTTCTGTTTTTTTTTTAAGTTAGTATAAATTGTTAGCTGTAATAAATATATTATGATATGAATTATAAGCATGTAAGCATATTATAGTAGGATAAAATATTATGAGATAGTTATAGTTATATAAGCATGTTTAATATGTGGAGGTTTTTAATTGGCTTTTGGATATTGTTGTTTGTTTATTTAATAAGTCATTGATAGCTGTAAACCTTCCTAAAATAAATAAATAAATAAATAAATAAATAAATGTTTTCTGTCAAATTTTAATGCAATTTTTGAATGGCAGCATCTGTAATCTGTTGCATGTTTTTTGCAGTTTAGATTTGACTGGGGCACTGATGAGCGGTTATATATATTATAATACACCTTGTTTTGTACTTTTGTTTTTTGGGGTAGTTGATCATGTGTGGAGTGTTGTTTTTTACAATCTTAGTTTACTGCTGTTGTACTTCATGATATATAATATTAAAAAAAACATAGATTAGTGTTATCTGTACTATTCTTATAAAAATACTTAAGCATTATTTTAAATATACAACATGTGTTGCAAAGGTTTTTCGTGAGTCTTCTATTTGATGCTGTTTGGCTGATAACTGTAATATGGCTAATTAATCAAGACGATCCACTTTGCAAGAGTACCCTCTATAGGCACGCTATAAGATATTTTCATTTGTGCTTATGGATGTGTTTATCTATCAAAAGATTCAATTTAAACTATTATTTTAATTCCCTGAATTTGTACAATAGGACACATTATAATAAAAGTGGATAACATAAATACATTATTCTCAAATGTTGATAACGTTTCTGTCTCTGAAGTTATAAACTGCGATCCTCAAAATTGTAACCTTCTTAAACTAAATCAAAGCTCTTGTTTAAATATATTGCAACAAAATATTCGTAGTGTATCCCGTAATTTCGACAATTTTCAAATTTTTTTAACCCAAATCAAAACTCAATGTGAAGTTATAGTTTTGACGGAGTGTTGGCTGTCGGGCAATATGACAGTTCCACAATTAGATGGTTACTCTCATCATAAGTCAGGACAATTATTTAATCAAAATGATGGTATTGTAATCTATCACAAAAGTGAACTTAATGTCAAGGTTATAGAACCTCCTTTTCAAGAAGGAAATTGTTTAAAATAAAATATATAAATAAAATAATTCAATATCATGATATCGCCATAGTGGCAATTTACCGTCCATCTTGCTTCCACGATATAGATTTATTTTTAACTTCGCTTAATGATGTGCTTGTGTCTCTTTCATGTTTTAAAAATGTCGCTATTATTGGCGATATCAACTTGGATGTAGTAACAGGATCGACGGATGCTAGAGCTATGGAATACTTAAACCTTAACGCTTTTCACGGCTTACTTCCTGCTAACAATATTCCAACGCGTAATAAGGCGTGTCTCGACCATGTAATCCTTCGCTCCGATATGAAAGCTACTACGATAGTCCTTAACTCATCCGTTACCGATCACCAAGCTGTCATATTAAGTTTGGCTACTAATAATTCGAATACAAAAAGAGGGTCCAAAACTTTGAAAGGATTAAATTACGATAAAATTAGGCTAGAATTAAAGAACAATAGTATGGATTTTATTATTCTATGTAGTGATGCTAATGTTGCAACGGATTTATTTATTTCATACTTGCAAAAAATAATTTCAGAAAACACTTCAACCATTACAATCCCTAACAAAAAAAGAACTATAAAACCCTGGATAACTCCAGGTCTGTTACGTTGCATAAGGAACCGTGATAATCTGTTCAAAAAGCACAAAACATCCCCTAATGATGAAACAATTAAACTCACATATTCGAGATATAGAAACTACTGTAATGCATTAATAAAAAAAGCAAAAATCAATTACAACAAAGATTTAGTCACAAAAGCTGGTAAAGATAACGGGAGATTGTGGAAGGCAATTGGACAGATTACAAACACTGTTAAAATGAAAACACAATCGACTGAACTTCTCAAAGTTTCATCCACCCAAACGGAGTCAATAAATGCCGTGAATTCTTATTTTACAAGAGTGGGCGAAGAATTAGCAGAAAAAATTGCTTCTAATAAGCTCCCTAATCATGCAAAGGCTGTAAGACACATACCGACAAGAACGGCATCATTTGCAATGTTAAATACTGATGAAGATGAAGTCGAGCGTTTTATAATGAGTCTCAAGAACGTGTGCACTGACGGTTGGGACGGCATCTCCAATGTATTCATAAAACAATTTAGATCATTTCTCATCGCTCCTTTAACACATATCTTTAACCTTTCCCTCAACTCAGGAGTTTTCCCCTCTGCTTTTAAACACTCTATCGTTCATCCGATTTACAAATCTGGTGATAGAGACTGTGTCGGGAATTATCGGCCTATATCAATTCTCACTGCGTTCTCTAAGATCTTGGAAAAAATTATTAACTCTCGACTCGTGAACTATCTAGAATCGAACGGTCTGCTTTCTTATAATCAGTTTGGATTTCGACGTGGCAGATCTACCACCGAGGCTGTGCATGAGTTGACAGATTTTGTGGTTAAAAATTTAGACAAGGGTAACAAGGTGATAGGCCTTTTTCTAGATCTCGCGCGGGCCTTCGACACGGTCTCGATACCAATCTTATTGAAAAAGTTAGAATCATACGGCTGTAGAGGTGTGCAATTAGATCTGTTGACAGACTATCTTTCTCATAGAACACAAAGTACCAAAATAGGGGATTATGTGAGTGACAGAGCTCAGATCAACTACGGAGTTCCTCAGGGCAGTATTCTGGGTCCTACACTTTTTTTGGTATATATTAATGACCTGTCTTCCTTGCAGATTCCATTTGCCCGTATTATATCTTACGCAGATGACACATGTCTTCTCTTTTCTGCTTCCACCTGGGAATTGACACAGGATGCTGCCCAACAAGGATTTAACTTAATTAATAGCTGGTTAAAAACTAACTTGTTAACCCTTAACACCGATAAAACGAAATATGTCAAGTTTTCCATGCGTAAATTGCCATTAGAAGAGAGACCCGCTAGAGCTATAATTTCACATGAATGCAACAATTTTGAAGAAATTAAATGCTCATGTAATAAATCAATAGAACTTGTCTCAAACGTAAAATATCTTGGTGTAACGATTGACAGTAATTTGTCATTCAAAAATCATCTGCAAATGATGTCCGCCAGGTTGCGTAAACTTATTTACCTTTTTAAAAATTTGCGATATGTGTTGGATAAGGAAGCATTAAAACGTATTTATTTTGCACTTGCAAGAAGCCTACTCACATATTGCATCACTTCTTGGGGAGGGGTTGCAAAGGGTACCTTAAAGCAAATAGAGGTTGCGCAAAGGGCTATTTTAAAAGTATGTGGATTCTTCCCCTTTAGATACTCCACCGAGCTTCTTTATCGCCACCGGCAAGTCTTAACAGTTCGTCAACTTTTTATTTTGGAGACTGTGCTAAAACAACACTACACACAATTGCATATGAGGCAGGTAGTAGTATCGTTGTTGATAGACGAAGGAGCAGGAGTGTTTTTCCGACTTATGCAGTTAGAAAAGCTTTTACAAAAAGGTATTCTTGTTTTTTGGGTGGCTTTTTGTATAACAGCATAGATAGAAGACTACAAATATACGCATGTAATACTTACGAATGCAAAGTAAAGGTGCACGAATGGTTGAGTGCCATGAATTATGACAGCACGGAGTCCCTCTTTGTAACTCAACAGTAATGTATAGATAACTTAGGTTTAATGGACAAATAGCACTAAACTAAGTGATCGCTAAATTATTGAGGAAAAAGTAGAATATAGAATAATATGGGTAATATTTATAAGCTATAAGTTACGTTATAATATATGTCAATGTAGGATAATTTCTGTGGGGTGGGAGCCTGGCGACCTGTACTACAGGCCTTTAATGCCTACTTCAGGCACCAGCTTCTCACACTTCAAATATGCAGCTTTTGAAATACTTAATGATGTCTGATTCTTAACCGACTGTATTTGTATAAATTACCTATAGTTTTTTGTAAATTTTAGTGTGTGAGAAGAGAACAAATAAATATTATTATTATTATACTGTAACTGAGGAGTAGCGTACCTAATGCTGCGCCAAAACGATAGCTGCGCATGGGTACGACGTACGACTGGAGAGCCTATCGGCGCAACACACACCCGCCCGCGCACCTCGTTTCCCCCCCAAGACAGCTTGATTTTTTCTTCTGTGCAATAAGGTACTTTGCAGACGACGGGGCGGGGCGGGCTTTTTGTCCGCGAAGCAATAAAAACCGCGTCTGCCCGTCGATGTCTGCGGCTGCCCTCGCCGCGTACACAAAGCACACGACGAGCAGAGGCAGTCAGTTCAGGACGTTCGTTCTAGTGAATAGTCCATCATTAAAAAGCGCGTGGCGCGGACTGAGCTAGCCGCCCCGCGCCGCCGTCTGCGTTACTGCATATAAACTGGTTTGTATGATCTACGGCGGGCAGCCGCGGACATGTTTTTTTTTTATTTCTGATCGAACATGTTTAAAAATACGGACTTTTAGAACTCAAGTACTACGAAGCACAGTGGTGCTACAGCTTTGGTGCCATAGTAACAAATGCTAAGGCCAAAGTGTTCCATCAGAAATGCACATTTTTTTTCCAGGACTTGATTTTGGACCAAAATGGAAGATATCCTTACTTAGAGTGACAGTAAATTTTTATGTATATTTTTCTAAAGGTTGGCAAAATTAAAACTCAAATGTGGAAAAATAATCAGAACATCATTTAAATGCTTAAATATAATATGGTTAATAATATGGAAGTAGTACAGCAGTATAGATTTCAAATTTTTTTAAATTGTTCTAAAAAACCTTTGGAACAGCGGCATGATTGCTGATAACACTTTTCGAATCCAGTTGAATCTGAATCCTGAAAAAGAAAAGGTTTTTATTGTACCAATAATTTTTATTCTGGAAAAACTATTAATCAAAACTTAAAAAGACAAAATAAATTTTTGGTGCAACATACATAGTAAGGGTCTCTTATAATCCTATCTCCTTCAGAATCAAAATCGCCAAAGAGTAAAAGTTTAGCCTTGCTACCTTTAGGTGCTCTCTTATTTAAATCTCTCATATTAGCTTCATCCATACCAAAAATATAATCATAGTAACTAAAGTCTTCTGTTGTTATCTGAAACATTAAGATATCACTACTATATTTTTATATCTAATAGAATTTAACAAGGTCCAGGTTTTATAAGTTGCTTGCTGAATAATTTTTATTACTTGTCTAGCGCAATTGTCATAAGGTACCCCATGTTTCTTCAAAGTATCTAATGCTCTCCAATCAGGGGGATTTCCAACATGCCAGCTACCAATAGCAGCACTATCTATTTCCCACTGATCCCCCATCTTCATGTCATCAACAGTTTTCTGAAATACTCCTTCAGCAATGGGCGATCTACAGATATTGCCTGAAAATTTGAAATGAGCTACAGTATTTTAAACGAAATTAATTATTATTAAAATTTCAATTAACAGATGCTTAGAAATTCTAAGTTGGGTATTTATTGCTGCCATTGTGCATGGTTTTGAGACTGATTCCCTGTAAGAAAACTCTTACTGAAAAATATTGGTACACATAATTGTTAGTTAAAATAAATACTAAAAACCTAATGTTTTCATACAATGATTATTTGATTTGTTTATTAAATATATTGAATATTAGGATATGTTGTGAAGTCATTTATGAGCAATATTAACAGTCAGTCATATTTTGTGTTAGGGCTCTAATGTGCCAAGATGTGCATTCTGCACTGGGTCCGCCTTGGGTCAATCCGTACATATGGAAAGCATAAGTTTGTACTCCAGCAGTGGGCATAGGCTGACAGAATAAAACAGCGACATCATAAATTAGGATAACAGCAAGGCAAGAAGGGTACTCTTATGTATAACAGGTGCACTTACCTAAGCAAATAAACAACGCCTTCTTTTTTTCACTACTCATTTCTAGAATAAATTAGCAATAAACGAATTTGTAGTCACAATTTCTCTTGTTAAGTAGTATTTATCATAAATTTATAACCTTCCTGAGACCTTGTTTTGATTGGTTGTTATCATTTTTTTTTAAATTTATTCATGACCTGGATACAGAATCCTTCAGTCGAATACATTGTGGGTATTATTGATAACATTGGTTTCAGTGTTACCAGAAAGCCATTTCGCCTTCCCCCAAAACTTACCCGGAATCCCCCCAAAATTCATGTTTTTGAAGAAAAAACCCCCCAACATATTTTTTTTCTATTAAAAATACAATATTTTCTAAAAATTATGTATTTCTGCAACAGCATCCATTACTGGATCAACATCTTCGCACGCGTCGTCTTTCCCACTCCTTTGTTGATCTTCTTACATAATTTTGTTTTAATAACTGAGTGAGCCAACCGAACCGAACCAAACCAAAAAAGACAATTGTTATCCGATATCTCTAAGGTGTTTGACCTCTTAGGGTGGATTACTCCTGTCACAGTCAAAGCAAAGCTTCTCTTTCAAAGAGCATGGTCATCAGGTACATCATGGGATAGCAACCTACCCTTACAAATACAAAAATGAATGGGAGCAACTAAGAAATGATTTTAAAAACATAAATAAAATATCAATACCCAGATACATCGGAAACATACAAGGAGCATATCAAATTCACGGATTTTGCGATGCGTCCAGTGTTGCCAGGTCCGATTTTCAAAAATCGGGAAGCGTTATAGATAAAAACAGTAGATGTATGGAAAGAGCTACAAGAAAAACCGTAGATGCAGAGGCGTACTTTCGTCCGATTTGCACCAACCTCCCCTGCCCCCCCCCCCCCCCCAGAATTGGTAAATCAAATCAAGATAAAGACCAGTAACGGTTGTGTTTCTGTGGCTTCTGCCGCCCTTCAAAGCTATTTTTTTAGACTATTACATTTATTTTATAATAATGAAGGTTATCTACATTATTAATGACGGAAAATGCAACTCAACATGCAATTTAAAAAAGAAAATCGTATTCTAAAAAAAACAGGAGATTCATGTAGAAAAACAGTAGAACAGGAGAAATTCCAGAAAAACAGGAGATCTCCTGTAAAATCTGGAGACCTGGCAACACTGGATGCGTCGGAAGAGGCATTCGCATGCGTTGTTTACATTGTAACGCAAAACGATAAAGGCGAGTTTACACTTAGGGTTACTAGATTGAGAAATCAAAATTTCTGGACAATATTATAAAATATCTGGACATTAGGATTTTTGGCTGGACAAAAAAAAACAGCATGACTATAAAATATTCTTATTATTACAAAACAGACTTTTTTGCCACATACATTAATCAGCATTATCATATTTTTTTTTACTATTTCAAAACAGTGGAACCTTAACCATAGTAGTAGTAGTCATCTCATAGTAAGTTAACTCGAGGCGTTGCAAATAATAAATTATTAATTCCAAAATCAAATAACCTATATGGGCAACGAACATTTCACAATTCATTGTTCCAAATTTAGTAAATAAGTTACCATTTGAAATAAAAAACGTACTAAATAAAGGAAACATAAAACGCACATTAAAAAGTCACTTTATCAATAACTTAAAAATAATTCATTTAAAATAACCGTTACAACGAACTTAACATAAAAACATTAAAAAAAGTCATATTTATCATTATAATTGGAGCATTCTTTATCTAGGATAACTGCATTACGACTTGTATGCTAGCATGAAAAAAGAAACCCAACCGTTATAGGTTCGTGCGTCTTTTGTGACCTGCATGTGCAAGCGCAAATTAATTATCATGTCAATGTTTACTATTTCCAACATACCCACTTATTTTATAAAATATTGTTATTTAATAATAATTACTACAGTGTGAAAACCTATATTTATTTATTGTAACTAGATGTACAGCGGTGAATGTAGTGCACGAATAAACCTTTCTGGTTTTTGTTTGCACTATAATATGTATTATAATTGTAATATTGCTTGATTAAATAAATAAATAAAAAAAAAAACAAACAAAATTAATATGAAATCACTTTTTCTGCCATATATATTTAGCATTTCCTTTAGCCGCATTTATCATTTTAGAACCCTTATCTGTATTTAGAAAAGATTTAAATTTAGTACATTTTCGTCAAAGTTCAATCGAATTATTAACTCTGATTTGATTAAATCAAATGACATGCGATTTCTATCTTTAGTGTACAAATTGTTCAAAAGGCTAAAGACTCTTTCGCAATAAGCATAGCTTATTGGTATGGACAGCACAAAACAAATCAGTTTTTTCAAATTTGTCAAATCATCGTTACAGTTTTTGAAAATATGAGCCCATAATTTATCATTTGTCAAGTTCTTTGGAACATGTTCATATATTTGGCGAAGACAACAGTAATCCATGTATAAGCCGTCGCTGTTAATATCTTTAATATTTCTGGCAATTCAGAAAGATCTTCCCAACTGAACAAATCGTCATTTTTTGGTTTGTTTAGCGCCAAAATACTTAGAAAGTTTTTTAAAAATCGAATTCTCTGCAAAATCATATCTCTCTTCTAAATACTGTATTGATTTTTCAGAAACTGTTCGGTTTCGCTTGTAAATTGGGCTCTCTTACGATCGTTCATTTTTTTTAAGGATTTCTTTGTTTTTGCTGCCATAAAATTTATCTTTCAATCTATTCTTTAGGTGGCTCATTAGCATTCGCATTATATCGTCAACTTCCGTAATAGTGCACGAATCATTTTCCAAGGCTGTAATTGTTAAATTAAATTCAGGCATAATATTGTAAATGAAATATAAATAGGCCTCTGAAATTCCTTCACGAAATTCAATGCTATTGATATCAGTCAAATCAGCTAAGGTCGATCCTTTAGAATCGAATTCCTATATTTCTTTTCTGCAATAATCTTCTCCTTTTGTCAAAAAATACATTTTTACTGCAGGCCAACAATAAACCAATCTGTCGATAGTAGGCAAGAGAGATAACCATCTAGTTGGCACGTGTCGGAGAAGGTTTTTTTATTTGACACTTGCAAATTCAAAACATTCTTTTAGTTTTTCAGTTTTTGTGCTAGAGGAACTGAATTCATTAAAAGTCTTAATTACTATGCTTTCAATGTCCACGGAAAAAGCCTTTAGGGCGTATTTAACGCAATTGTTTATGACGTGACAATTACAATTAGCCTTCTTAATATGATTATTGACATCATAAAGTTTTTGGTAAACCGAATTATGTTTTCCATAATTCACTGATGCGTTATCCGCACTGTATGCTGATATTTGCTGCATTTTTAGCTCGTTTTCTTCAGTTATCGACTTAATTTTATTAAATATATCTTTTGAAGGCTCGTATGGATCTTCATAAAAGTCAAGTAGTTTTTTTGAAATGCCTATCTCAGGACTGAAAAATTGTACAGCATATGGATAAGTTTTAATGTTTCCTATATTTGAAGCGTCACTGCTTACTGAGAAATAGTCGCATGTCTTTAAATCAGAAACCAACTGTTCCTGAGCGTACGGAGCTAATACATTTCGCGCTATTACGGCTGCTTTTGTGCGTCCACATGATAATTTGGCGGCAATTTTGCTATCGCTATACATTGATGGGGCTAATTTTGTCAAACAGTCTAAACTATTGTAACTTAGTCTGTGTTGCACATTATGAAACACAACGACCAATTCTGCTTTTGCGATTTCAGTTTCTTCGTTGCTATGTTTTTTGGTACTAAAAAATTCTGAAGATTACCTGCAATTTTTAAAGATGACTGAAGTTTTGCATGTTGTTTCGTGGCTTTATGTTTTTCTAAAGAACGACTTCCCTCAAATTTTATTATAATATCGCTTTGGCATAATTTGCAATAAGCAGTGAAATTGTCTTTTTTTTTGTAAATATTGCTGCGGCATGATTGAGAGAAGTATGTGTTTACATACTGCCCTACCTCTCACTTCGCTTCAGAGTTTCGGCAATGGCAGACGTCGAAGTAATAACAGAGCTGTGTCTTTTTGCAATCCATAATTATGTTCGAAATTTAAATAATTAATAACTTTAATATAAATAAATTAATAAATATTAATAAATATTTAATTAATTAATGAGGAGCTCGATGGCGCAGGTGGTTAGCGCGTTCGGCTGCGATCGTTGTAGTTAAGCAACTTTCGCAGTGGTCGGTCATTGGATGGGTGACCAAAAATTTCTATCTCGAGTTCCTCCGTGCTTCGGAAGGCACGTTAAGCCGTTGGTACCGGTTGCATCTGCAATCGTTAGAACCCGCCAATCCGTACTGGGCCCGTGTGGTGGGTCATGACCCAATCTCCCTATTCCATCCATAGGGAAGGCCTGTGCCCCAGCAGTGGGGACATAAAGAGGCTGATGATGATGATGATGTTAATGATTTAAATAATTAATAATTTTTGATTTCACGTCTTTCTCCACCAAGCGCATGGCGCGAACTAACTAACGCAGAATGTGAACACGCATTGCCACTCGCGCTGCCGGTCCTTTGACTTCCGCACAAAAAACCGCTCTTTTGGGGAGCGCGAGTGGCAATGGCAGTGGCATGACGAGTATCGTGTTTACATACCCACTTCCCTCCTCACTCGCCAATATACAAAGTTACTCTATGTCACTCGCGCTGCATGTAAACGAGGTAATACTCTAGCACATCAACGCACGACATGACCAACTGTCAGGATTCTCGATGAAATGAGTGAGGTGAATTGATATTGATGATAGCGGACGGGAAGGACGGGACGCGGGAGGTGGGTGATGGGCGGGTCGGATGGACGGGAAAGTCCCGGGCATAGATAGCGAGAGACCGCAGCGGAGCGGAGGAACAGAGTGTTGCCAACTCGGTGGAACTAATACTGGTGGTTTTTAATTTTCAGCTTCATTCTAGCTGGACATTTTGCCTAAAACCACCACCACAACCACACTGAACAACGTGTGAAATAGCTGGACAATCCAGCCAAGTCCAGCCAATCTGGCAACCGTAACTACGATCACGGTCAATCAAGGTAATCTTGGATTTAAGAATGAAAAATAGGAAAAATGAATTAAAAATGTAACAAAACTATTTTGTATTTTATAAATACTAAATATTTATATAAAGTATTTCAAATAAAATACAAAATATATTTAGAAAAAAAGTATTTCAAATATAAAATAAAAATAGGTATTTTGCATTTCAAATATATGTATTTCAAATAATTCACATCTCTGTCCCCGCTGCATCTGCAGTCGTTAGCACCAGCCAATCCGCACTGGGCTTGCGTGGTGGGTCATGGCCCAATCTCCCTATTCCATCCATAGTGTTCACTGCCGGATTTAGGGGAGGGCAACCGGGGCGAAAGCCCTGGGGCCTCCACAAACAAGGGGCCCCCACAATAGAGACTTGGGAAAAAAAATCTTTCAAATTCCAACTAGTAAACATCTTTTCCTTTGATATATTTTTTTTTGCTCTTTAACCTTTACCTACAGCCTACAGTACTTTTTACATCTAACATACATGATTATTTGATTATATTAATCTTAAATAACAGAAATCATTGATCTATATTTGTTCACTCCAATCAGGCAATCAGTGAAATATCAAAATCTCAAATGGCCCTGATAAGCACTTCCAATTCACTACCCATCTTGAGGGAGTACCCCAATCACTTAATGGCTGAGTGGGGTGGTCCTTGCCCGCAGGGCCGAATTTAAGGCAGGGCAGGTGGGGCTGTGGCCCAGAGGCCTCCACAACAGCTTAAGAAATAACAACATTTCGATGGGTTAACAAGAATAAAAATCCTAAGTAGCCCGGGGCCTCCACAATCCTAAATCTGGCCCTGATAGTGTTATGTAAACAATTAAATAAATAGAATTCGAAGGAGCGGTAGTATTTTCAAAATATTCAATTTAAGGAAAACACTATTTTTAAAGGACTAATATATTTTAGAGAAAAATTACAAATTACGAATTAAATATAAGAGACCATTTTTCTTTTACATTTTTTTTAATGTGACATCTGCCACTTATTATTTTTAAGATGAGGTAAAGAACCTGAACATCCTCCCCACCTTGCGCTTCCAGTAGCGAAGGCAATAAACAAAATTAGAACTAGGAGAACAAAAAAATAATGTTACATTACATCATAACTAATAAACATTTTAAATATTTAATCTATCTGGAACCTTAACGACACGACCAGTACGAGTAACCAGTGGCGTTCTGCTATTTTCAGCTGTCTGAACCCCTTTGTTTACTAATGAGTCATTGTTAGATACCTCAAGGCGAAACGGGCGTTGGGCCGCTCTTATAAGTTCGCCAGTACCAGTTTTTACACGGGCCACCCTTCCGTATCCGTCGATCCCAATGAAAATCTCCAATATGACTCCTAACGGCCAATTGACACGCTTAACATCATCAGACCCAACTAATACGACATCACCGACTTCTATAGTTCTACTGCACTTAGGAGTTGTATTACTATCGGTTATTAGTGTTGATAAGTGCAGTAATGATTTTTATTTTAGACATATCAGTAGTGATTGTATTATAAAAACATTTAATTCTATTAATATTAAAAAGACAGAGGATTTATGGGGAATATCAACATATATAATAAAACCGATTATCACTGTCATTGCGCCACAACTGGCCATTATGTGTTTCCAGATCTAATGAAATGTGCTAAGGTTATCCCTCTTTTTAAGGCTGGTAATAAATCAGATCCCAGCAATTTTAGGCCTATATCTGTATTACCAGCGCTAAGTAAAGTATTTGAGAAAATAATTTATAACCAATTACTAGCACACTTTTCTATAAATAAGCTACTTCATTTAAAACAGTTTGGTTTCACTGGAGGCAAAAGTACTACTGATGCTGGAACTGCACTTCTCAAACACATTTTTGATATATGGGAGGGTACGCACGATGCTATTGGCATTTTTTGCGATTTATCTAAGGCGTTTGACTGCGTAAGCCATGAAACCTTGTTAAATAAAATGAAGCATTATGGTGTATCAAATATTTCACTAAGTCTGATACAGTCTTATCTTTCTGCTAGGATTCAGAAAGTAGTTATAAATGAAGCTGAGTCAACAGGAGCACCCATTTCTATGGGCGTGCCCCAGGGTTCAATATTGGGCCCATTGCTTTTCCTTATTTATATTAATGACCTTCCTCACTTTACAAGAGATTTGTGTGAGACAGTACTATTTGCTGATGACACCTCTTTAGTGTTTAAAGCTAGGAGAGGAAATGATTGTTATGACGAAGTAAATTGTGCTCTCTCTGAAGTCCTTCACTGGTTTACGGTAAATAATTTAAAACTAAACTCTAGCAAAACAAAACGTGTTAAGTTTACTTTACCTAATGTGCAGGCAGGTTAATACTAGTTTAAAAATAAATGACCAGCCTGTAGAGTTAGTGGATTCTACAAAGTTTCTGGGTATTACTTTAGACTCGCATCTGCAATGGGATCCTCATATTGATGCCTTATCAAGTAGACTGAGCTCTGCGGCTGTTAAAAAAAATAAGACTCCTAACTGATGTGGAAATGGCAAGAATGGTTTACTTTGGTTACTTTCATGGCATTATGTCATATGGCCTTTTGTTGTGGGGCTCAGCTGCTAATATAGAAAGTATTTTCGTACTGCAAAAGAGAGCTGTTCGAGCCATATATAAGCAAAAAAGGCAAGAGAATCTCTTAGAGAAAATTTTAAAGAAATTAATATTTTAACACTGGCATCGCAATACATCTATGAAAATATAATATATGTAAGAAAAAACTATGACGCATTTGCAGAAAAAAGTCAAACCCATAACTTTAACACGAGATTTAAGAACAAGCTTGCCGTTCCATGTTTCAGACTCCTAAAATCAAGAAGTTCATTTCTGGGATGTAGTATTGCATTGTTTAACAAAGTTCCCCAAGATCTGCTTGAGCTTCCACTAACCAAATTTAAATCTCAGATTAAGAATTCTCTTATGAATAAGGGCTATTATAAAGTTAATGATTATCTAAATGATCGTAATGCATGGACATAATGTTTCTTGTAATTTCTTATTTGATGGATATGAGTCAGTTTTGTAACAGTAGTATGGTACCTATCTAATGCCGCTTCCTATATACTAAATATAAAATTTGTTGTAACTATATATCTATACCCTAAATAATGTAATGGAAGGTGACTCTATTTTTCAACGTGACGACTTTGTATATATCAATACAGGGAGAAAAAAGCAGTCCTTGTTGAGTTTCTTGCCGGTTCTTCTCAGTACAAGGTCTCCCGCCGTAGTTTTGCGAACCGATGGCGTAGCTTCTTGACTTTCACAAGTGCTTGTAAGAGCCTAGACTGAATAAATGACTTTTCATTTCATTTCATATCCGTGAGTCGTGACAAATATTCGGCGCGAAAACGCTGCTTCAATTGAGCACTTAATTTATTCAGATAAGTGCTCAATTGAAGCATTGGTAGTCCGCCACTGACCTGTTACTTCAAAAACCGATCCCAGATTAACACGGTTAACAGGCAATGGATCTGAAGGAAGCGTGCAAGCCTTAGCACTAAAACTTTTACATATGATACAGTTATTAACTATTTTCTTAGCAGGTCTTCGAATATTAATGATCCAGTAAGACTCACGAAGATTATTGATCAATGTTTGTGAACCTGCGTGTAAAAGTTTTATATGCCTCTGAGCAACAAGTCTTTCCACAATTATATTCGATGCTGATAGCAAAAATAGGCTAGTTTACTCATGTCGAATTGTATTAAATAAATGATTATTTCTTAAAGTATTTGGTCTAAGGAACCTAAATATATC